TTACATTGGAATCGTAATCACGATCCAATTCATTAGACCATGACTGATGAATCATGATCCAATTCATCAGACCATGACTGATGTGTCTGAGCCTTATATATATATATATATATATATATATATATATATATATATATATATATATATTATTTTTTATGTGTGTGTATTCTAAAAGACGTATTTATAAAGATTTGAGCAATTTAGGCATCCTATTTGAAACATACGCCCCATTTTTATTTATTTTTCGTGCAGGCCGATAGATATAATACACAATGTTTAAGAAATAAAAAGGGGGCGTGTATTTCAAATTCGAAGTGTCTATTATATATATATATATATATATATATATATATATATATATATATATATATATATAATAGACACTTAAAATGATGCAAATATTTACTGTTGTCAACAACTATTCACTCCTGCTTTACTAGTAAATCTGATCGGTTCGATGAGGTCAAATAGGCAGATCACCTCAAAAATGACTTAAAATCTGCTGATAACTGGGACAAGGAATGACCTGTTAATTTTAACGCCCCCAAAACAAAACTGCCTCTTTTTGCCTTTTATCAGCATGGCTGATACTAAACTCCAGGAGAGTGACTTATTGTGCCTTCTCGAGCTAAAGTTCTTTACTGATATGAAGTGGGAAGATCATATTGAATCAATTGCTAGATCTCATGCTAGGAAAATTGGTTCACTGTATCGTGTTTGACAAATGATTTTATCTCCAGAATCTTACATATTTATATGTCTACCGTTCGTCCATGTTTTAGATATTGCTGCCACATATGCCCTGGTGATCCAGTTATATATTTACAGATGTTTGATAAAATCCAAAGAAGAATCTGCAATGTTATTTGTACTGACCTGGCCTCTCGGCTTCACTCACTTTTTCACAGACGTAATGTAGTTTCTCTATGCCTTTTTCTATAAATACTTTCATGGTAATTGTTCTGATGAGTTTTCCTCTGTGGTACCTTGACTTTATGAATTTAAGCTCAGCGCTAGATTGGCAACCAGATCTCATCATTTTGCAGTTGAAATGGCGAGATGAAACCGTAAGTTCTTTGCTAATATTTTCTTTGCTCTCACTTCTCGCTTGTGGAACTCGCTTCCGGCTTCTTGCTTTCTGTTCAACTTTGATCCCCAAAATTTTAAATGCAATGTCAATCGTTATCTACTGACTTCTTGATACCTCTTCTTTCAATGTTCTGCTCCTTAATAATGTTTTTCTTTTTCTTATTCAATCACACTCAGAAACAACCTGTGTCTTAATGGCTTTATTGCCTTGCATCGTGATGAAATGATTTCAAAAATGTATTTGTAAGGATGAAGTGTGAGTTTGTAAACAGTGGCTATTACTGCTAATAATGCAAGACTCTTCGGTAAAGCGAATTGAGTTCTCTCAGAGAGTGTGTGTTTATCTAAAAAGAAATACGCTTAAATTCACATTCATCCCTCCCGTGCACCAACGGCTTAAGGGTAGAATCTCCGACTGGGTTTCCATCCTAGCTAGATGCAACCAGACGTCAAGCCACACTGATCAGCTGTGATACAGTAAAACAGTCTCTCTGGGGATGACAATATATATATATATATATATATATATATATATATATATATATATATATATATATAACTTACGTGCTAATACCCTTGGGAAAGGTATGAATCCTCTTCCTCTCCCTCCAGCTATGGGTAAAATAGCAGGACAGACTGGGTTCTATAGCCTTGGATGGCAACTGGTCTAGGAGAAGGACAACTCTGAATTCAAAACCTGCAGAGGGTCGTTTGGGAACCTTGTGGCATTCGGTGCACCAGGTCTCTGTATTCGGCCCTACAAAAAGTGTGGATGGACATCCGACAACATTCATATTTCTCTCACTTAAACCGTCTTTGACTCCCCTCTCTAAAACTTCTTTCTGTTAAATTTTAATCCCCCACCTTCTCTCGTCTGTTACCCCTCCCTATAGCTCTAACATTCGTCCCACACTCTCATACTTACACTCTCTCTAAATTTTATTCTTTATTCCCGGAGATGTTTTTTCTGTTTTCTTTTTGAATTTATAGGTCTGATGAATTGGATCGTATTTACGATTCCAATGGAATAAATTATGACCATGGAATATTAGTGTTTAAGTTTTTTTATATATATATTTATATATATATATATATATATATATATATATATATATATATATATATATATATTCGACTGGAATACATTCACTTACGTGCTAATACCCTTGGGAAAGGTGTGTATTCTCTTCTTCTCTCTCCAGCTATGGGTAAAGTAGCAGGACAGACTGGGTTCTATAGCCTTGGATGGCAACTGGTCTAAGAGAAGGACAACTCTGAATTCAAAACCTGCGAAGGGTCGTTTGGGGACCTTGTGGCACTTAGTGCACCAGGTCTCTGAATTCGGCCTTTCAAAAAGTGTGTCTGGTCCTGCACGAAACCTTCACCACTATAATCAAATCTCTTGTGCTGTTGTTGGGCTGTCGGTTTCCTGGGAACTGATTTGCTTGACCCTCATACGTCGAACTAGACAGGAGAGTCGACTATATATATATATATATATATCATCCCAGATTTTGTTTATTAAAGACACATTTCTGTTATGCATGGAAGATAAATGATGTATTCTATCATTCATGATGAAAAATGACTTCTGTTTGTCATCAGAAAACGAAAACGCCTGTTGTTATCAGAAAATGAAAAACCATTACTAAAACAAAGATTCCATCCATACATTTCCTTACATTGTGTCTGGGGCAAAATGAAAGATATCGTCAATTACGATCTACTGGAACGTGGAAGCACCATCACTGCTGACGTTTATGGACAGCAACTTTATCAGATAAACGAAACATTTTTATATCACTTCTCATCAACCGTAAATACTTTCCAAATGCCTTAATATAGACATTTAATAAGATCATCTTTGTCTAACGCATGACCACCTACGGTCAACAGCTAGACAAGGACGCTTCTACATGTGCTGTTTGGCATATAACAAAGGCCATTATCGCAGAAGTAGATATCTTCTGATGTCTTTAGGGAAACGAAATCTTACACCGTTCAGTTCCAGCCATTTCACCACACCGACCAACATTCGCATGGAAGTATGTATTCTGATATTGTCTTCCTTTACAAACACATAACACGTGTTCAAGTTGCTCCCCGCCAAACCATAAACACAAAAAAGAATCGTTCGAGTTGAAGTGGAGAGAAGATTGAAGATAGAGTGTCAAGTGTTTATAGATATATATATATATATATATATATATATATATATATATATATATATATATATATATATATATATAACTTCCTTTATATATATATATATATATATATATATATATAAAAGAAGTTTTATGAACTTCATCCAAAACAGTGTGATCTTTTGTTAATCATTTCACTCGAAGCAGGGCAATAAAGTTACTAAGACGCAAGGGATACTAATCTTGGAAAAATATGAGAAAAATAAAAAAAAAAACATTATTATTATAGTAAAATATTATATAAATTTAATAGTAAAATATTATATAAATTTAATAATAAAATACTGTATAAATTTAATAATAAAATATGATATAAATTTAATAGTAGAATATTATATAAATTTAATAATAAAATATTGTATATATTTAATAGTAAAATATTATATAAATTTAATAGTAAAATATTATATAAATTTAATAGTAAAATATTATATAAATTTAATAATAAAATATTGTATAAATTTAATAATAAAATATGATGTAAATTTGATAGTAAAATATTATATAAATTTAATAGTAAAATATTATATAAATTTAATAGTAAAATATATAAATTTAATAATAAATGTTATATGAATTTAATAGTAAAATATTAAATAAAGTATAAGTAAAATAATAAATAATAATAATAAAACAATAATAAAATAATATTAAATAATGAAGAAAAGTAATAAATACATAATAAATGCATTTTATATATAAATATATGTTATATATATAAATATATTTTAGATATAAACAATAAATAAAGTAAATAAATATATAATAATAAATAAATAATAAAATAATATATAAGTAAAATAGTAAATAAATTTAATAGTAAAATAGAAATAAAATAAAATTATAAATAAAATAATAATAAAAAAAAAAATAATAATAATAATAAATAAAGTAATAAAGAAATAATAAATTATACAAATATTTTATATATAAATAATTTTATATATTTAAATATATTTTATTTCAATTAATAATAAAATAATAATAAAATAATATATAAAATAATAAGTAAAATAATAAGTAAAATAATAAGTAAAAGTACAATAGGAAATGAATTTAATCGTAAAATAGCAAAATTTTATAAATGTACATTAGGAAAAAATATGAGAAAAACAAAACATTAAAAAGAGAGGTCAGTAAAAGAACAGGTATTAAGAAGACAAAAGATAACATTTGAGATTGTATTTAAATATTTTCGGAAAGCAAGAGGCCCGAAGAGAGTTCCACAAGCGAGAACTGCAGAAGAAGAAACTGTTAGCATAGAATCTAGCTATTTCAACTGTAAAATGTCGAAACGTGGTTTCAAATCTAGTTCTATGTTTGACTTCATAAAGTATAGGTACCACAGATGAAAGCGCATCAGAAGAAATACCATAAAAGCACTTATAGAAAAGACCCAGGGAAACCACATTATGACGGTAGGAAATAAGTGAAACCGTTATGCCAGGTCAGGGCCGATGAAATTGCAGCTTTTTCCTTGGATTTTATCAAGAATCTTTAAAGAAACACCAGACCAAATGTGACGGCAATATTCAAAACATGGACGTAGGATAGACTTATAAATATATTTGATAAATTCTGGCGAGGAGACCTGTTTAGTACGTCACAGGGAACCCACATTTCTTGCAGCAAGCCCTAGCAAGTGATTTAATATAATCTTTTGAAGAAAGAAAGAAAACAGAAGCATATAAGAAAGGGCGTACATTAAGAAATAAAAAAGAAAGGAAGGAAGGAAGGAAGGAAGGAAGGAAGGAAGGAAGGAAGGAAGGAAGGAAGGAAGGAAGGAAAACTTATAAAAAGGAAGAAAGTATACCAAAATCAACGAAAGACAGGAAAAGTATAAGAAAGAAACTCAAAAGAAAGAAAAAATCGGAAAGAAATTTTAAGGTAAAAGAAAGAAAGAAGAAAAGTATGAGAAAGAAAGAAAGACAACTTATAAAAAGAAAGAATGTATACTAAAAAGAAAGAAAGAAAGAAAGAAAGAAAGAAAGAAAGAAAGAAAGAAAGAAAGAAAACTTATAAAAAGAAAATACACTAAAAACAAAAGACAGGAAAAGTAAAAGAAAGAAAGAAAGAAAGAAAGAAAGAAAGAAAGAAAGAAAGAAAACTTATAAAAAGAAAATACACTAAAAACAAAAGACAGGAAAAGTAAAAGAATGAAAGAAAGAAAGAAAGAAAGAAAGAAAACTTATAAAAAGAAAATACACTAAAAGAAAGAAAGACAGGAAAAGTATAAGAAAGAAAGAAAGAAAGAAAGAAAGAAAGAAAGAAAACTTATAAAAAGAAAGAAAATACACTAAAAAGAAAGAAAGACAGGAAAAGTATAAGAAAGAAAGAAAGAAAGAAAGAAAGAAAGAAAGAAAGAAAACTTATAAAAAGAAAGAAAAAACACTAAAAAGAAAGAAAGGCAGGAAAAGTATAAAAAAAGAAAGAAAGAAAGAAAGAAAGAAAGAAAGAAAACTTATAAAAAGAAAGAAAAAACACTAAAAAGAAAGAAAGGCAGGAAAAGTAAAAGAAAGAAAGAAAGAAAGAAAGAAAGAAAGAAAGAAAGAAAGAAAACTTATAAAAAGAAAATACACTAAAAAGAAAGAAAGACAGGAAAAGTAAAAGAAAGAAAGAAAGAAAGTCAGAAGAAAAAGTTAGGAAGAAAGAACAAAAGTATAAAAAGAAAGAAAGAAGCTTCTAACAAGAAAGAAAATATACTAAAATAAAGGAAAAACACAAAAAGTGTAAGAAAGGAAGTCTAAAGAAATTAAAAACGTTACAAGGAAGGTATACAAAGAAAGAAAGAAAGAAAGAAAGAAAGAAAGAAAGAAAGAAAGAAAGGAAGAAAGAAAGAAAGAAAGAAAGAAAGAAAGGAAGAAAGAAAGGAAGAAAGAAAATTAGTAATTGACTGAATCTTGTACTTGAGTATACCTGTTAGCAAATGTATGCGGGTGCACGGGTGCTTGTGGGTGCGAATGTAAGAAAGAGTGACTGAGAATGTTCTAGATTCATACATCGTATATACGTGCGTTTATATTTGTGTGTATGCGTATTTTATGAGCTTGCGACTAAGAAAAAAAGACTGAGTGTGAGGTAGTGTACTTACTGCGCATATATGTGTGTGTCGGGGGGTGTATATGTATGCAGATACAGATATGTAGCGTGGTATAAAAAAAAACTGGTAACGTAAGCAAATGGGGGAAGATGATGGGTAATCATTTTGCAATGACCAAAAAGGGAGCCATCTTAATAATAAGTGACTGAAAAATAAAAAGAAAAGCGGGGAAAAAAAAGAAAAAAAAAAGAAAAAAAAAAGAAAAGAAAAAAGAAAAAGATCTCAAAATAAATGTTCTTTTTTTTTTTTATTTTCAAGGTTCACTCCATTAAGGAAGTTCCAAATGGTTGTAATCCCCCGGTGTCGTAGAAGAAAGACAATACTTAAAAGAGAGCGTTTGTTAAAGCGCAAGAGAATTTAATACAGAGAAAGCGGGATGTGTTAGAAAAGATGAGTCAGACAAAATAGTTGCACTTAAGGTATTCCATACAATCGACGCCCTGCAGTTTCTTCTCGTTATTTTTTTTTTTTTTTTTGACAATGACTTTAATCCGGGACAAGAACCAAGATCCCCTCGAGGCAGAGGATTACAGAGTAAGAGGCGCAGATTTTATAGGGAATCTAATAGTTAACCCTAGGCTTGAACTTTGGAGTAATGGATAGAAGCTCGGATTGAGGAATGGGTGAACCGAGTTCGAATTCCAGTCGAATCCATTACATTCACTTATGTGTTAATACCCTTGGGAAAGGTATGAATCCTCTTCTTCTCCACCCCAGCTATGGGTAAATAGCAAGACAAACCAGGTTCTATAGCCTTGGATGGCAACTGGTCTACTGCAGAAAGAAATGGCAACCTACTGCGGGAAAAAATCTGCCTCGTCAGTCATGTATCAAAAGATACTTGACCGCCTTAGCGTGTATCACGTATGACACATAACTGACTGACTGGCATGCTAGTATACTTGGGAAAAGTATGAATCCTCTTCTTCTCCCCCCCCCGGCTATGGATAAATAGCAGGACAGACCAGGTACTATAGCCTTGGATGGCAACTAGCCTACCGCAGAAAGAAATGGCAACTTCCTTCGGGGAAAAAATCTGCCTCGTCAGTCATGTATCATGGCACATAACTGACTGACTAAGACTTGAACAGGTTAAAAAATGTAGTGATCGCGGAAGCATCCTCTTGGGAGTCGATTCCACAAAGCAACGGTTCACCAATGAAATATGAAGGGAATGAGGGTGGATCGCTACAATGGGCGTGACATGGCTGAGATTCATCATCTTCGGTGTCGTTTCCATGACATAGTGGTTCGTGAGAAGAAGCTGTTCGAGTGGATCTTACATCTCACCAATGGAATACGAAGGGAATGTGGGCGGTTCCGTCTGGATGATTTACATAGAAATAGCGATAGAGTAGTAAGAGGCGGGCAGCTTTTTGTCTGTGGGCAAAGGTTTGTAGGGTGGAAAATATTTCATCACCCACAAGGACGCGAAAATGATCTTGAATTCTGCCATGGTTCGAAAATGAGAATTGCCCAGCTCCAACCCCCATATGACAGCAATATCCCATTTTATATCTTACATGACTTTTGTAAAGATAAGCCGTGGCAAGAGGGGTCAAGTACTTTCTGGTGCGGTACAATGGACGGACCATTTTCCCTGCATCTTTAGCAACGGATCGTATATATATATATATATATATATATATATATATATATATATATATATATGAAATGGACAAAGTCCGACAATTTATTTATTAAAGACATTTTTATGTTTAACGTTTCTTTTTTATAGATACAAGTATTTAAGTAAATGCTCTGTTATTTAATACTGTTTATTGTAAACAGAGCATTTTACGTTAAACATAAAAATGTCTTTAATATATATATATATATATATATATATATATATATATATATACGATATCTCTCTCAAAGCATTTCCCCACAAGTGAGGTGGAAGTACACCTAGCACGCAAGGGGTTATAGAAAGTGAGAGCAAGAGTAAAGAGGGATGTTTAAGGAAAGGATACAGAGAAGGACGGGGATCAGAATCTAATCATCAGAAGATGTAGATTGTCATTATATTTAGATATTTGAAGATTGTAGCTATCAGGGAAGCAAGTAATCGGAAGGGAGTTCCACTGCTGGGAAGTGCCAGAGAAGAAGCCGCTGGAGTAGTCTGCTGGTAACATTTAACTGTTTCGACAGTAAAAGGGTTGGACCGAGATGCCAACCTAGTAGCACGCTTAAATTCACGCAGTTGGGATACCAATGAAAGTAGCTCGTGAGAGCAGTTGCCATGAAAATATTTGTAGAAAAGACAGAGGGTAGCCACATCACATCTGTGGGAAAGTGACTATAGACTAGATGCCAGATCAGGACCTATTACATTGCATATCCGTCTATGGATTTTGTCGAGGACCTCGAGATGAACAGCGGGGGCAACAGACTATATATGGCAACAGTATTCAATGCAAGAACGATTGGTACATTTGTAAATTTGAAGGATGGACTCAGGCAAGAAAAACCTTCTGACGTCACACACAGAGCCAACTTTCCTTGCGGTAGATGAAACTCGACTAAAAAACAAAATCTAACATCTTTAACGATGGATCCATATACGATCCATAGCTAAGGGTTCTGGGAAAATGGTCGGTTTGACGTAAGGTCTGGAAGTGCCCTTGTATGTGACCCTTTTTCTGACTAATTTTAATAATGTTGGTACGAAAGCACGTCTCGTCGACAATGATAATACTGGTGTTGGATCAAGTCTAACTAGGTGTTCCATGCATGTGAATTTGTACCTGGCTTAATCAGTATGATAAACAATTCTGCGAGTCTATAAACACAGTAGAAAATGCGTACCTTTCATCAAATAAACCAATTAAAAACTCACCGACTGCTGATAAATATCGATTTACTTCCAGTATTGATTTTTTTTGTATGTGTGCAAAACCGATCAGAAATTACCACCACACCAAATCCCGATCTTCGCGCCAGAATTCAAAAAAATTTCGTCGAACAGTAAAACCAGACTTGTCAAAAAATTGAACGATAAAGGTACTCACCTGAAAAAGAAAAAAAAAGAAATATTTTAAAATTTACTAAATATGAAACAGACTTTTCAATTAATCACAAGAAAAAAATCAGTGGGTTTATTTATTAAAAAATATATATTTAAAATAAAATATCGGCTACAAAAATTTATATATCAGTTTCACTTAATTTACCAAAACAAAAACAATCCAGTAACTCCTTGCGTCTTAGTGGCTTTACTACCTTGCTTGGGGTGAACACGATTAAAAATAAATAAATAACAACCGTCACTTTACGGCTTTTATGTTTTTAAATTGTTTTTAAAAATATACTATTATATTTCCCCTCATATATTGCTTACTTCCAAGCTGTGATCTAAATGTTATGGTAGTCACAATTTCAGTGCAGTAAATCGCTTTATTTAATTAACTAAGCAATTTAGTTATAAACACTATGAACAAAACAATCGCTTTTTACATACATCACAACAGACCAGACTTTAAATAAAAAGCAAATTAGTAATTGTTATTTACATTAATAATAATAATAATAATAAAATGGCCGTAGATTTGGTTGGTCGTTTCTTTGTTTCTTTAAAAGGTTTGCATATGCTGTAAAATTGTATTGTCTTAATTATATCAAGTCGATAGATTTAAACATTTCCGTGGTAATTTATTTCATATACAGCACGTTATACTAATTTATACTATTATCATATTTTCAAAATATACTGCTATATTACTGCTGACTCCCTTTTATACATTGTTTACTTCCCTTTACAACCAAGCTGTGATCTAAATGCTAAGGGTATTAACACTTTCAGAGCAGAAAAAAGATTTATTTGAATAATTAAGCCATAAAAAGAAACAGCTTACTTTTTTTAAAGATCATAAAACGACCATATTCGAAACTAATAACAAAGCAAATAATAACATGAATAACAGCACATGTTTTAAATAAGTGTTCTTTTTTTAAAGCTGAATGTGCAAATTATTTGTGCCAATTAAGCAGGAATGCTAAGTTGGGTCTGATATAAGACACATGCTGGTAAAAATAAATTATAAAACCTCATTTATTTGAAATCACAGTTTTATGTAATATTCGCATTCATGCAGTCATACACATGGGAAAACAACAACAACAATAATAATAATAAAATTAAAAATATTAATAATGGTCGGCAACTCGTTTTCGAGCACACCTGTCTGATAAGGCGGCTATCCAATCCCTATTACAGACGTTCGCTCAGACACAGTTCTATTTATTCAGCACCCATTGAGTTCACTTGTGGTTTACAATGCAACCAAGGTGAGCGGACCCAAGTTATAGTTTGTTTGAGAGTGCACAATCTGGGGTAGTCAGTAGTTTTAACAAGGCCAGTAAGCTTAAACTCTCGGTCACGATGACTTATGACTTTGTGCTAACACAACCTCTAAACACTTCTATTTACCCGATTTAATTCACAAGGCTTGGGTTAACTCGTGGGTATGGCTTTCAGGCACCTTCCAGTGGTGCCGCATGCTAGGATCGCCTTCCCGAGGCTGCTAACACCAAGAAGTCACCTTCCCTACAAATCGAACATCGTGGTATTTGAACCAGGTTTTGATGGTCGAAGGATGAACGTTCTAATTCCTCGGCCTCGCACTTTTTATCCTTTTCAGCATAGTTCAGAATGTCATTTCATCCACTCCTCTTAATAATAATTGGTTAATTTTATAACGTGTTTTGTTTGTGTTTTTTTTTTTAATTATTCCACCTCAAGCAAGGCAATAAAGCTGCTAAGACACAAGGAATTATTGAGAGGGAAATAATCTGGGAAAGAGAGGACACCAATAGAAGAGGAGACAGGAGATAGCGATTTACATTTCATTCAAATTTTTCAAGATCGTAGTTGAGAGGAAATCAAGAATCCAGAAGTGATTTTCAGAAGCGAAAGGTACGATGAAAAAAAAAACTTATGGCTACATCGAGAAATTATTATTTTTATTCGGTCGAGCTCGCTTGGATATTCATAAGTCTATCACTCCAACCATCATGGGCCTTCTAAACCTTTGGTATTGTGGATAGTTAGCGTCTTGATCATATCATTATTTTCATTTCTAGTTGCATGTGGCACCCATTTTAGTTGTTGCTGCTGTTGGAAGTCTTCAAGCAACATGGTTTTTATTATTTTGTAAAGCACACTGTGATTCTGTAGCGTCAGTCCATCAGCAGCAGAATAAGACAAGCCGAGTAAACATGTAATAATTTGCGATTCGTCTGTTAATATATTTCGTGAGTTTTGAACATATTGTTTCTAAAAAAACATTTCTATCAATAATATTCTTATTAATTCCTCACACTGATAATTGTTATTCGTCTGTTCTTCCATACACAATGGTAGTAATGGTAGTGGTCTAATTAACCATTTCCATTCAGGAAACATTCAGCCTTCATGGACAGCGTTACTGTCGGTTAATATTTATAAAAAGAGTCTTTAGGAATTTACGCTTCTCCAACCCAATAACTGTTATCGCTCTTTCTACGACGAATGCGTTTTTTCTTCCAAAACTTTTGTTTACAGTAGCGAAGGAAGTTAACATCTTGATTCTGTCATTATTTTACGTCGGCTGCCAATTTTTGTGTTTGTGACATTTCAGAGTATCCAAGTGTCGTTGTCACCTTACTTGGGGTGAAATGATTAAAAAAAGAAAAAACTCTCCATCATGGGCAAACTGTTGCCCCCGGGCCACATGCGGCCCGATTGGCTTTTTGAACGACGCGCCTAATTTAACGTTTATTTATGAAATCTTCTTAAAAGAGTCTTTAGGGATTTAAGTTTCTCCAGGCCACTAACTGTTATTGATCTTTCTAGTACTGATGCTTCTTTCCTTCCAAATCTTTTCTTTATGATAGCCTAGAAAGTTATCATGTTGATTAAATCGTTATTTTTCCTTCAAGTTAAGAGGGGTATCAATTTTTTTTTTGTTGCACCTGTTGAAGTATTCAAGTGATGTGGTCTTTGTTATTTGGTAATGCTCTTTGGGATTCTTTAGCAGCAGTCTATAAAATCTGATGAAGGTTTGTATTCTTTAAGACCTAGAGGATCCATTCGATTTAAACCATTTTCAATCATTGATCTGAGAAACCGGTTCTATATGGCTGATAATTTAGACACATATAACGTCTTATACTGATGCATATATACACACATTTATATATATATATATATATATATATATATATATATAGGGTGCGATGAGTAAATTGACATAACTGAGACATAACTGAGTTGCGCTCTTCACAAAGACAGAGACGCAACTCAAGATGTTAACGTTAAGAGCAGGGAAAAATCCCATTTGTAAGACGCCATTCATATGAGAATCTGTATCTGACGAGGCTATTTAAGAAGATGACTTTAGTATTGTGGTGGGTGTGCGGGTGGTGTAATGGATAACGGCTCGGAATGAGAAATCAGAAAGTTGAGTTCGAATTCTAGTCAAGTTCGTTATATTCACTTACGAGCGGATAATATTGGGAAAGACAGGAATCCATCTCCTCACCCCAGTTAGGGATTAAATAGTAAGACGTGCATCTGTAAAAATCATTGTTATCTCTCAAAAATTGTTAAGGCAATATTCACTCACAAAAAAGAATTATTCTCGCAAGCCCCAAAATATGTTTTATCAAATATTATATACATTACGTTTTAGAAGCGTCTAAAACACGAAACCAGCAAACATACACACACACATATATATATATATATATATATATATATATATAAAGTGGAACATAATTAGAAAAGTCAACCCGGGCAGAGTCTGTGGTAAAAGCTGCCGTCTATGTCAGTAGGAGAAGCTGGCAATAGTAACTTATCCAGACAAGCAAGTGTTGCTCAATTAAAGGACTGAAGTGTTAACCGGGTGCAAGCACTTACGCAAATATTTATTGAACAATTAGGAGCCCGGATGAGTGTTTTCCCCTAAAATTATTTTTTGCGACACTCCTACTTCTTAGTCACACTTCCACCAATACCATCCACCTCCTGGTGTTCTCCCGCTCCGCCTTCTAAGTCCCACTCCCACCAGTACCATCCATCTTCCGGTGTTCTATAAGTTTGTTGTGGAATTCACTATACTATAGCTTTTTCAACCTGACTGAGGAGATCTAGCGATCGAAACCCTGGTAGCGTGGTTGTGAGAGATTTTTTTCCAAGGCATTTCGCTCTGCATATCTTATATTTTATAGCTTGCATCGAGCACTTTTTGGTGTTTACGCCTTTTTAGGCGCCCCCTTTTTTGTTTATTTATTTATTTTTTGGCCTCCTATTATAATATATTTTTATATTTTAAATAATATATATATATATATATATATATATATATATATATATATATATATATATATATATATATAATACAGGTAATCGATCTGTTGGTATATACTCCAGGTGGCTGCCAGTAATATTAATTATTAAAACTGATTCACAAAGAGCTCGATGTTATTATTTTAACAGAACACATGTATTTTACAGCAAAAAATTTGTTATGAGGTCCACCCCTTTTCCATACACGTGGACTCGACCAGGGTGTACTTGTACTGCTGCCGTTAAATACCTAGAGTAGACAGAGATTGAGTTGGAGGTAGAGTAATAGTGTGAGGTAACCGCTTGTAGAAGTCACAGTTAGAAGCACGTGGACTCTAAGGAAGTCCTACTTCGAGACTGAATTTACCAGACTGTAGATATATTATTATTGCTACTAACCGTGTTTCTGGAACTACTAACCCTATTACCAATTGTATTATTGTGTAAATACATTTATTTGTTATATTTCATCCCTGCGTTTGTCATTCATTGGAGACCGGATTTCATCTCGGAATCTATAAACAAAATTACCTCAACATGGATAACGAGGTAATTTTTGCTTTTTTTTTTAATATATATATATATATATATATATATATATATATATATATATATATTATATAATCTGTTGTACATCCAACCAATAATCACTGACAATTTCTTGCGCGCTATACCTCCAGTCTTCAGGCGATTAACACTATCTGTTCTTAGATAGATAGATAGATAGATAGATAGATAGATAGATAGATAGATATAAATAGACTGAGATAGATTAAGATAGAGTTAAAGGTCAAATGCATATCAAATGTGGATCGGAATCTGACAGGATGATAAAACAAACAACAAATAGGAAACGTATAACAATTTGACACGTTTCACTTTTATTAAAACTTCGTCAATCTACAAGGTGTTGATAAGTCGTAAAAAATAAATCAGTGAACAGTATTGTGGTTTTATTTCAGTTTACGGTACCAGACGACAGTAGCCCCGCCGCAACCTAATAAACAGTAGCTATTGAGTTCGATCATTACTGAATGCTCTGTTCCAGTGATCTTGTACCAAACTAGGCAAAGCAACGAGATATTTTCCAGCTTGAAAAAGAAGGTGAAATGCATATAACAAAGCCGATTCGATTCTACGTTCTATGTACAAAGGACCACGTTTATGCATAGAGTGAAAAGTAGGTGGGAAGAAAATACACGAAAAAGTGCCCTTCTATGGTAGATGCCATTGACAATAAAAAATATTATAATATCGACCCGATCTCTTTAGAA